AAGTGTTATGCCTGGAACTTTGGTAGTCGAGGCTTTGGGAGGCAGAATAGTTGTATTTAAATATGGACTCTGCTACTTACTAGCTGTGACCTTCTACAAGTTACTTACCTTCTGTGTGCCTCGGTCTCCTCATCTGAAAAAAATGGGAGTAATAGTAGTGTCTACTTTATGACATTGTTTTGAGAATTAAATGAGTCAGGGCAGTGGATAAAGAGCTTGAAACAGTACCTGGTACACAGTAAGTGCTATATATGTACTCATCATTTGCATTAGTTGTGAGAGGTATTTCAGGCTGAAATGAAGGAAACTCTCTGACCACCATCATCCCCTTAATGGACAGATTACTCATATGTGCTGGGTCTCATAGCTTTCTGTCTTGTAGACAGGCCTAAATAATCACCCACAATTCCTATTGCCTCCCATTTTCTAGGCTTCGAATTTTTCTTCCCTTATTATAATTGTTTTATGTAAACAATTGAGTAGATCATTTTATATTATAATCTACACTTATCCTACAGCTCTCTTTTTGCATCTAGAATACCTTCTTTTAATTAAGGGGACTATAATACCCTGTTCCAATGCTTTGATTAGCAAGATATCCCTTCTACCTGTGATATCTTCAGGTAATTGTTTCAATACAGTTGATGTGAATTTTGCAAGTCTAAGTCTCAGGGAATTGATAATAATGATGGAGATAATGTTGATGATATGGTGACAATAGTAACAATATTAGCAGTACCCTTTATTGAATCTTTACTATGTGTCTGGATTTACATTAAGTGCTTCCTGTGTTAACTCATGTAATCTTCATGATAAACTGATGAACTAAGTACTATTTATCTCCAGTTCAGAAATGAGGATACTGAGGACAGAGAGGCTAAGAAGCTTGTGAAAATTACATGGTCAGTAAGTAGCAAAGCCTAAATTCTATCCCATGTTAGAACTCCAAGGTCAGTATTCTCAATGATCATGCTTGATAGGCTCCCGAAAAAGTCCTGCCCTTTCAGCTGAATTTGAACTACTGGCTGAGTAAACAAGAAAACACATTCTAAAATTTCCTGAGGAGCTACTGAAGAGATAATCAAAATCACGGGACACTTAAATGACCCTTCACAAATACACAGATATGAGGTCTCATGCTAATCACACATCTAACACTATGTTGAAATTAGTATCTTCATAACAACATAACTATGTTGAAATTAGTACTTCATAACATTGTATCTTCATATTACATACTATAATATATATAATGATAATAAATATTCTTTCATTAGCATTAAAATGTACCTAGGCATCATCTGAATCGCTTCCTGAGATATATATATGTATACATATACATATATATATATATATATTCAACTGTTACATAGTGGGATACTCTGTATATATAAACCTTCTCTCTATATATACATATACAGAGTATCCCACTATGTAACAAACATATATATATATAGAGAGAGAGAGAGAGAGAGAGAGAAGGTTTACATATACAGAGTATCCCACTATGTAACAGTTGAATGTGGTTTATACCATAATTATCATTCATTTTTGGCAATTCAGACTTGGAAATCTAAATACATTTGGAAAGTCTGTCACTCAGGACAATTCCATGTCCCCACTGTACTGCTTCATCTCTTCTAGAACCTCCTTTATTTCAGTCTTGGAGACAACCTTTCCACCCAATAGCTCAAAAATAAAAGTCCTGGATTCTCTGTGAAGATATTTGTACCTGTTTGTTATAAAGTAGAAAAGTGAAAGAGATACAAGAAAGGGGCACATATGCAACTTGTATAAATTTCTCTGCCTGTTGATTTTGTTATTTAATAAACTTCAAGGGATTACATTGCTAATACTTCCTAATTAGGTCAATGGGCTTTCACCATTGTTCTCTTGTCTCATCAAAAATCATTTGTTTAAGGAGTAGTGCAAGGTATCTTACAAACAGAGTTAGACAAGAGCTTTAGTACATTCTATAAACTGGATTCAGTATATTTGTAAATTATGCTGACAGGCACTCCTATAACACAATGAGGTCAAAACAATCTCACTGAAAATGGCCTTTTCATGCTGTACTCAAGCCAAAAAAAGGAAAGGGATCATAAAAGCACCATATTATGTGTACATAAGAAAGTTGTAAATTCAATCTAAGACAATGGATGTTTTTCGGCTAATCTTAAAGGGACTAAATGAAATAAATTCTTTAAATGTATAGCAACAGGACGCTAATTAAAGATGTATTTATAAAGAACCTACTGTATGAAAAAATACTATGTTACAAGCTATTAAGTATAAGAGAATTATTAAGATACAGTTAATGATTTTAGTGGGTTTGCAACTCAAAAAAGGGATCAGGATATGCATACAATTAAATGGAACAAAACCAAATGTAAATGACATGTGTTTGAGATAAAGTTTAGCCTGAAAGAATATAACTAGATTGACTAGGTCTACCAAAACTTAGTTTACTCATTCAGCTGTTATTTATTGAGTACCTACTAGGTTCTCTTTTCACTAAGGGACACTGATATCTGCAAACTAAATTCTTAACTACTTTTCAGGGTACAGGGCAGAGAATGGAAATAGTGTCTGCTTTGAAGTTAGAAAAACCTGAATCAAAACCCTATCAACTACTCATTGGGTGACTTGGGCAAATAATTTATAATCTCTTAGCTTCATTGCAGAAATTAGAGGATTATCTTTGATTCTCTCTTCCAACTTCATCCTATGTATAGTTCATCAACAAATTAGTCTTTAAGTATTTCTTGGATACATTCCATTGTCTCCATCCCCATATCCCTAATCCTAAGTTTGGGTCTCCTGATTGCTTATGGATTCTGCAAACCAAATTGGCTTTCTATCTCAATATCATTCTTTTTAATCTATCATGAATGTTGTAACCAGAGCAATCTTCCCAAGACTTATACCTCACCACAACACTCCTTGGCTCAAAATTCTTTAGTTGATTCTCATTGTGCAGAAGATGTAAGTCTACATGTCTTAATAAGGCATTTAAGATTTATTAATGAGTTGAACTCTGCTTACATTTTAACCTCAAACAACAGTCTTCCTCCATGTAAACCCTACATGTCTTTAACCACCAGCCTGTTTTGTGCTCTGTGTCTTTGCAAATGCTACTTTTTAATGACAAAGCCTGAAACATTGCCCCCATCCACACCCCACCAATCCCATCTGGAAAACTTAAAAATTTTAGTCTTCCTTTAAGACTTTGCTCAAACACCACCTTCTCTGTGGAGAATTCCTCGAGAATCTTGGTAAAGGTAATTTTTCCATCATCAGTATGTGCACAACATGTTTTATATAACTATATTAGCACAATGCATTCAAATATCATATCTGTATATATGCCAATTGCCTCGACAAGACTGAACACCGAAGAGCAAAGACAAGGCTTTTCACCTTTGAATCCTCAGCCCTAACGTAACATCTGCCATGGAGAGACTGTGGAATAAATATTTATTGTAATAATCAAGTCAAGTTTGGGAATCCGTGGAGGGAACCAAGAAATGCTTGGTAAAGGAGGTGGCATGTAAAGTTGGCCTTGAAAAACTTCTGAAATAGTTTCTTAATTTTAAAAATGTAATTTTGGGATGTTCTGTGTTTTAACATGCATAATGTATATATCTTCATGATTCTTTCTTTAATATGTGTGTTTTGCGAGTAAATCTTTGTTTCTTCTATTTAAGGCCCAAGGTGTAGTGGCTCTGAGTTTGATGAAGACTGTGTATGTTCATTATCTGATTTAAAGAAGCACCTTCCTCATGTCTTTTGGAAGAAGTTATCACTCTGATTCTCCAGGACAATGTGGTATCAAAAGTACTTGAATTTTTAGTTGGGTCATAGATACACCATACCCTCTAGCAAATAAAAATGTTGATATTCAGTATGTATATTTAATTTCTCCTGAACATCTTTAAAAATATATAAGTATGCTTTTGATCCATAATGGAAAATACATGACAACCCTATGCACCTCAGTGCTATTCAATTAATTCCCTCTGGGCAGATGACCCACCTCGGATTGTAAAAGTAATAACTGAGGGATCATTTCATCCCAAATCATGTGTGATTCAAGTTGTCAGTGATGGATAAGCTCTTAGGTATTCTGGCAGATTTCTTATGTTTCCACATAAGTAGATCTGTTTAAGCAGTCCTACGGAAGGAAAAACCAAACCAAAACAAAACATTGATACCAATAAAGGAGTTATGAATTACAGAAATCCAGAACACAGTGAGAAAGAAAAATAAACCTATAATGCGGCAGTCTGCTTTAGGTACAACTATTCATTTCATTCTAAACCTTCATATTTACCAACACATATCTTAACTTTGGTAGCACTTCATGGTTAGAAGCCACGGAAATCGTCTTTGGAGACCTCAAGAGTTTCTCAAGAGAGCTCTGTGAAGAAACCTCTGCGGTTTGTCGATCTTCAGCTCGGGAAATCCCCGCATGGTAAGAAAGGTATTGACTAAGCTTGAGGATCTCCTGAAGTGTCTAGAGGAAACATTTTTAAGTGGAATAGAGTGGTAGCATCTGGTGTATATCTACAGACATATAAGCACAAAGACATGTGGATTGTAATCCACATAATTATATGTGAATCAGCAATTCCAGTTTGGAACCGAGGGCTGGCTCACTATTTTACCCCTTCTTCCTGTCAAAAGCTGAAGTACAACCTTTGGGTGTGTACACTTGGGGAGTCTGCAGCTGGGTTCTCAGCCTCTAGCTGCGCGTTGACTTGCTCCAGGCCAAGCCAGACATTCTCAAAGAAAGCAACCTCATTTTAGCGGCCCCCCCTCAGACCCACGCGCCTTCTCATAACTCTGCCTTTCTCGGATTCTGAGCTCGCGGGCGCAGAGCACGAGGTGCCCGAGGACAAGTTCACAGGGGGCGCCGGGGACGACCCTTTTCCAACAGCATTTGTAGCTGCCAAGAGTAGCCAACAAGCACCAGATTTATGAGCACTTTGAAAGAAGCACCTTCACCATTGGCTTTTTGAGCGGCGCTGTCGCTAGGGAGCGGCGGGCAGGGCGAGCACAGCCCCGGGAGAAGCCCAGGCTGTTTGTTCCCGTAACCCGGGAGAGAGGACGCACACAGTCGGGCGCGCGGACACACACGCACGCACACGCACGCTCGCGGCGAGTTCGAGCCCCGCGGCCCCCTGACCGCCCGAGGGCGCCCCCCGCGCCGCGCCAGGCGGAGCAGAACCCGCCTCCTGGTTCCTGCTGCTGCCGCCCAGAGGAGAGAGGAACCTGCAACCTCTGCCTAGAATTTCCCCTGGCGCGGCGGGCAGCGGAGAGCGGCGGAGGTGGGCGCGAGGAGGGAAACGCGATGAATGAGTTCTCCCCTCGCCTCGGAGTTGACTGAGTTGGCGGCGCCGCGCCCGGGCTTCCGGCTCTCGGCGCCCCACGCGCTCTCGGCTCCCGGGGCTGCAGCCCACGCCCGCGGCCCGGGCTCTGCCCGCCGCGCGGGGGGAGCCGAGGCTCCGAAGCTCCTGTCCCGGCTCCAGTCCGGGGGAAAAAGGAGGGCTGTCCCCTGGCCGAGGCGCACGGCCGCGCTATTTTCCTGCACTCTCCCCGGCCCCATCTGTCTCTCCATGGCGTCTCATCAGCAATCCCGGATCCAGGCTTACCTGGAGAAGAACAAGATAGGTCCCCTGTTTGAGGTAAGGCGCTGTGGATGAGGGCGGTCCCCTTTGTGTTTGGGGGAAGGGGTTCAGAACACCCAGAGGAAGGAGGGGTAGTGAAAAAATGCGCGGGAGGAGGCGGACGTGTGGCATTCGCTTTGGCCAGTCCAGGTGTCCTGGAACGCCGCCGAGCGGGCACCTCGCTGGTTACCTGGGCGCAGACAGGTGAGCAGGAGAGGGCCAAGCCTTAGTCTGGCACGGGAAGTTTGAGTGGTTTGAATGTCCTGCATCTCGCAGCCTCATGCACAGGACACGGGACAGGCTGAGACGGATAGATGCACACACTTAGACTGTTATACACATGCACACTTTCTTCCTGGAATTTACACTGTATTGCGTGTTGGATTTTTTTTTTTTTTTTGGTTGGGGGGGGGGGGAATGTGGTCAGTAGTAGAACCCAGAAAGCTGGAGTCGCTTAGCAATGGGAAGGAATATGGTTAACTGGGAGAAAACTGAACTGGTAAAGAGTAAGCTTCGGTAGGTGCTGGCGCGTTGAATGAAATTGTCAAACTGAGACGCTGACATTGATGTCTGGATGAAAGGAGTCTTTGCATTGCAGACCCTACATGTGTTAGGTAGAGAAAGGGGCGGAGAAAGATTCAGGAAAAGCATACACGAATTTATGAGAAAAGACATGTAGCTCTGAGCTGCTTCCTCTCGCCATCAAAGAATTGATGACAGAAATACAGTAGGAGAAAGGAAGAGCGGGAGGACGTGAGAAAAAGGACGCGAGACTGAACCCGGCGCTGGCAAAGCGTCCCGCGGGTAGCCAGGGCGCTGGGCAGATGCTGGTGCCTGTGGGGAGGGACGCCCACTATCCTTTCCCATTCCGGTTCAGCCGTCCAGCTGGGCACTGATAGGAGACGATCGGACGTGGGAGGGTCAAGATCCCCCATACCCAGCAAAAAAAGCAGTTATGCTCCTCATCGAGGGTTTATGTGTCCGCGGCGTCGGAATAAGGCTGGAACGCTCAAGGGGCAGAGATAGAGAACCGAGCTGTTTTCCTAGTACTGAAAAGAGAATAACTGCAGAGAAAAAAAACAAGGCGAAATAATGCCGTAGTAGAAAAGGGAGAGGCGAAGAGGGATGTGATCAGATATGGGAAGGATGGGTTTCAGATAACTAAGATTTGCAAGATTTTAAGTTTTTCTGCCCAACTTTAAGTTAATGTTGTACTATCTAAAGAGATACGGCCATTGTTTCAACTGAAACTCATTGTTGTATAGAGTCATAAAGTCCTATAATGCATGCCTTGATTCTTCTTTCATCCCAAAGTGTTACCAGAGGAAGTCTATATATAAAAGCAATGTAGAATTACTGGCGCGACTAGATTGTTTTTCTTTAGTCTAATGGTTAGAGACTATACATAATTCTATCTATTAAAAGCTGAAGCATAATAACACTTTGTGACACAGTGTATTCGTTGTGTCAAAAGAAACATTAAAAGAAATACTTTGAGATTGTGTCTGCTCCCCTAGAATATAAAATACAATTTACCAGGGAGAACAAGGCAATTCTTTTAGTAGATTTATTAACTTATTTTAAAATTTAAGAGACTCTCTCCAAGCGATAATAATAGAGTTGGGCATATATGTAAACTTTCTACATAACTAGGAAATAAATCCAACTTGATTTTTATCAAGTGCTCATTAAAAAAAAAACTAGCTCACTTGATAATTCTGCATTGATGAATTTTAAATTATGGCAGAATTGTCTTATAAAATCATATGACCTCCTCACCAAAAATCAAACAATGACAAAATTATATGCTGTGTATTTTATTGATTTTTACAGGGGAAACATATTACTTACATCCCCATGAGCTTGGATTGCAGTGATGAGTAGTTAATTTTTGAGGATTGAGATGCACTTTAAATAATTGAAGGGAGAAAATAGGTACCTTCTGCTAAAAGCAGGTTCGTATGCAACAATTTTGATCATAAGAGAGCTACGTTTTTAATAGAATTCTACATACTTCTCAAAATTAGGAAATATCATTAGCTTGTAGCCCCCTCTCCTCATGCTAGAAAACCAGTGAAACTAATGTAAAATGGATATTGTTGTTCTGGCATTCTCCTCAAAGCTTCCAGGACTTTGGTCAATGGTTCTCATAAGAACTACTTTAGGAGATCAATCAAGGAGCATCCCAGAAACATGAATTTAGTAAGAAGTGGCAAAAATGATCATTACATATTTAATTCCTGGACTACATTTTAAGAAACAATATATAAATTAAAATCTCTTACCTATCACAGATTGAAATAGGTAACTCCCAAGTTTTGTTATCTGTTCTGTGTTGGGATTTTGTGTGTGTGTGCGTGTGCTGTGGCCTTGGAATTGGTGACATCAGCTTACTTTAGTTTTGAGAATATACAAGACCTGGTAATATGTTCCCTTTACATATTTTGTAAGGTAGGAAGGTTTTGTGAAAACTTTCTGGAGTAAGGCGCTTTAAAGAATCACATGAATATTGTTTAAAACAAAAAGTAAAGGTGGGGTGCCTGGATGGCTAAGTGGGTTGAGCCTCTGACTTCAGCTCAGGTCATGATTTCAGGGTCCTGGGATTGAGTCCCGCATCAGGCTCTCTGCTTGGCAGGGAGCCTGCTTTCTCCTCTCTCTCTCTGCCTACCTATCTACCTACTTGTGATCTCTCTCTGTCAAATAAATAAATAAAATCTTTAAAAAAAAAAAGTAAAGGTAACATATACTGGTTGAGAATACCTGTATCCTGCTGCTTTTACCTATATAGCTTAATTACCTAATTTAGTTACTTGGTTTATTTCTTAGCTTATTTCCTTTTTTATAACATTTTATCATGTGAGAAGCTTATAAAACTGTACACAGTGCTGTATTTTAAAAACTATTCTATATGAAAATTTATCTTGTTTCCAGGTGATTTAAGAGTATAAATTTATATTGCCTTTAAGTGATTTAACATGCTTTGAGGCATTAAAAAACCATGCCTAGAAATCATTGCATTAGAGTCTTGGGTAATGATATTTTAATCAAATACTATAAAGATGTAAGGTGGATAAGGTAATAATGACTTATACTCTACAACCTCTTTGAAATTTTTGTAAAATGGAATACTTTTAGTATTCTCATTGGCTTATTCAGGATGGGTGAGTAGTGAAGAGCCGAGGCATCAACCTATAAGGAATGCTGGGCATCACTTTAATAAATTAGAACTGTAATCCTATTTAATATAGATTTCCACATGTAATGATTTACTTAATTGCAAGATGTGAAATGGTTTGGCTTCCACCAAAGTACTGTATTTTGCAGCACAGATATTTGCAGCAAGATTCATGGTGCAAACACAAGACTTATCTCAGCCAACCACTTAATAGTTGAAGGACCTGACAGTCAAAAATTCTTAAACTGAATAATTAACTGGCATATATCTGTTTATGGGGATCAAGTGATCTATTTCATCTATATTGTAAGCAGTTAAACTTCATTCCCAAGAAATTATATGATGTGGAATGCTACAATAAGTTCCTTATTTTCAACATAGATAAGTATATACTTTTCAGTTTCTCCCATTTCCATGAAAGAAACAGAATAATTATTTGAATTATATTTGTTAGAAGGGTGCTTAGGGCAGTCATATATCCTGGTTTAGAAATGAGTGAAATCCTAAACTATTAAAAGACAGGATAATGGAGTCCCCATTAAATCTTAGAGAATATTAGATCTCTGTGTATTGGAGATGTGGCAAACGAAATTCACTACATTTCTCCAAATGTAGTCTGACCCACTCCAAGTAGAATGGAACCACTTTATCACCTCTGTTTACTTCACAGTACCTCTACTCACATGGGCTAAATTCATGTTAACCAGTTTGACATATATGTTATGAGGTGAACTCATGTCAAACAGGTGGTCAACCATCAGCCTGCTTCATTCATACTACTGCGCAGCTTGTTTTTCTCTGGTACCCTGCCCCACACTTTCCAGCCACATCTGCAACCTTGAATTCCACTTGGCCTGAAGATCACCAGGCAGTGGCCTGGCAGGATCAGGAGATTTGTTACATATGAGGTAGGGGGCTATTGAGAGAATAAGTAAATATATTGAAAATAATGCAAGACAGCTCTCTTGCTATTAGAAATGGGAGTCATAAATATAAAAAGGAAAACATGTAGAATGAACTCTGTGGTGTTCGATTGAAATTGGAGGTATTGGTGTATCTCATGACTTCATGAATAGAAATAGATATAAATGTAATAGAAATAAGTATAGATTTATATGTATTAATATATACATAAGTAGATACATGGTTGCCTGGGAATAGCAACACTTCAATAGCAATGAGCACACCTAGTGACCACATTTTACATACCATTCTCCATCAGGTTGAGGCAGGTATCCTTGGAGAAATGGTTGATTCTAGACTTGGGTCTGGGAAAGTACAAGATGAACCTGTACCATATTGTGTCAAGAACCAAGGAGATTGTCTAAGAATTATAGGAATATGTCAAAAGCTTGAAGTGGGTCCGCTAACTAAATCTGGGACAATTTGAGACTCAAAGTATGAGAGTAACATTTTGTCTTACTTATAAAATAGGACTATTTTATTACACTACAATATAATGGGATACATGAGTATATTCAACTTATGGGGAGAGGAGAAAGATTTACCTTATAGTAGAATACCAATTAATAAGAGTAGAATGGGAGATGGAATTAGAAAATCACTATTTGGCAAGTATTTAGCAATAATTCCGGCAAGAAACATTAATTGTTGCCAAAAATAATAGGTGAAAGTTGGAGGAAGAATGAGATGTTTATCTAATCTCTAGTATCTTTCCACATAGTAGTTGTTTATAATTACAAAGGGAAAAGAAAGCTGGTTGACAATACTTAACTCAAATGAAGGGAAAAACCAATAATGTGTGCCTCCAATGGATGCAATTAAAACAACATGATTTTGCTTCTTCAATATTTCTGCCAATCATGCATGACTTGAACTGAAT